AGTGATTTTGCGTTCGTTTTCAAGGCTGACATTATTATTGGTATCCCTAGATAGATGAAACTATCTACAACTTCGAAGTTATGACTTCCAACAGTGACGTGAGAGCGGGGTTGCGAATGTGTTGACTATTTGTTTGATGACGTCTTGCTGTTCACTACCAGTTCCATACGTTTCGCTACCGCATCAAGTTTGGAGAACTCAGAACTCACAGCGCGGTTTTAAGCCCAATGATGTCAACATCATTGGTATATGTCAGCAGTCTTATAGAAGATTTTACCTTCCCAAGCAACTCTGCAGCACTTATTATGTTCTCCAGCGTCAAATTGAAGAAATCACACGATAAGAAGTCACCTTCTCTTAAAGCTCGTTAGGTAGAGAACCGCTCGCAGAGGTCGTTGAGGATCCTGACAGAGCTTTTGTTGCTTAACGGAAGTTTACGCAGCCGTGTAAGTTTTGCGGAAATATCAAATTCAGACAGTTGAAGGTTTTTTAAGATTTAGCGCTTGGTAGATTTACCAGCTATGAGGCTGTTTATTGACGGTGGACTTTACTCTTTTACACAATAGGCTCTATAGGCGTTTATATGCAATGTCAAGGAAGCGTATTCCAGGGTAATCGCACATTATGAGGTCCGCTTTTTTGTGGATTGGTGGATTCTAATCGCCGTGCATACTTTTGTCCAATCATATTCTGCAAAGAAGATGCATATACTTTTTCAGTTCTTCACTGCAATTCATCTGCCGCCGCAGCTTTCGCTGTATAACCGCTTAAGAGGTTTTGAACCGATCTCCTTTTTCAATTTGTTGTATGCCTATTAATGTTTTTCAAAAAATCGCTTACAGTACATGCTAAGCCAACTCCGAACGGCCGAGATTATCGTAAGAAATTTTCGAACTGCCGCTGCCAAGCTTTCATTATTTTTGAAGTATTGTTTAACAAAGAAGACACGTTGTTCTATCGTGTAACGCTCCATTTTTACTAAGCTTAAACAGTTAGCCAAGTGGTTATCATTGAGTACTGTCTCGGGTTCAAGTCCTGGTGTGACCAACATGAATGTCAACCCCTTCGAGTGTATTTCTGACATAAAATAAAGGCTCCTCGTAAAAAAACCATCAGCCGTTCGGGGGTGGCTTAGTATAAACTGTAGGTCCCTTCATTTGTCGGAAAAACATCAAGACGCAAAACCATAAATTGTAGCAGGAGCTCGGCCAAAAATCGCTTCAGCATTTACAAAGTGCAATTATATATATAAACTTGCGTTAATTTTGTGACACCCTGTATATACCGATATATGATCTGGATCCTCCATTCAAAAGATGTTTCAATTTGATTTTAGTTCTCGACTTTTATTTCATTCCATGATTCATACTGGGGGTCTCTCTCTGTCTTTCTTTAGCAATAAATTCGCAATTACACAAAAAGAAAAAAAATGCAAATGCACTTTATTGATATTATAAATGAAAACATACTTACTTTTATTTATTTACAAACCGACACGTCTCATGGCTAGTGTAAGGACTCGCGTCTTGACCTGATATGACCTTATTGTTTTAATAAAAATTATAAACATTTGAAAACAAAAAACACAAGGTTTTGATATACTTATGTATCTACAGAGAAACATAGGAACTAACATTAATTAGAAAAAACTAATTTAAAAAAAAAACAACAACAGCTAACATTGAACTATAAAATCAACTACAAATAATTGTTTCAATTTTCGATCGCACTGCTTGAGGACATTGAACTTAAACTTGACCGCATAAATTAAATTGCATATCAACAATGTCTTCTTCCCACATGTTAATAGTTAAATATGTAGGTGTGTACATGCTTGCATACACGTATGTATGTATGTGAATACTGAATACTTTACGCATGCGCATAAAACACAAGTGAAAAATGAACCAAAATTTTTTGATTGAATTGGCGTTTCTTAATTCCTTTATTTTTGCTTTGCAATTTGCACGTGCTTTGTAGCTTTCATATAGCCACTTTGTACATATATATGTACATATACGAGGTATGTTCAAAAAATATCGCGAATTTTGTGTTTTTTCAAAAATTATTTATTTATTCATGAATATCTATTTGGTTCCCTTCAAAGTAATCCCCATGAGATATTATACACTTGTGCCAACGATTTTTCCAATCTGCGAAGCACTTCAAAAAATTATTTTTTTTTATCTTGTTCAGCTCCCCCTTCCTCCTTCGTCAATCGTAGCGTAACGTCGTCCTTTCATGGGCCTCTTCAGTTTAGGGAACAAGAAAAAGTCACAGGGAGCCAGATCTGAGGAGTGCGGTGGCTGCGGCATCATTAGTGTGTTGATGTGTGAGCAGGGGCGTCATCGTGGTGCAAAAGCCAATTTTTGTTCTTCCACAAATCCGGACGTTTCTGGCGGATTGCTTCGCGCAAATTGCGCATAACTTGCAGGTAATATTCCTTATTGATCCTTCTACCATGTGGCAAGAACTCATGATGCAACACGCCCCTGCAATTAATTTTTTCGTCTGTTGTTTATGTGCTCGGGCGTCCGGCACGCTCTTCGTCGTTCACAGCTTCTCGGCCTTCTGAGAACATTTTGTACCATCGATAAACGTTGCTTCGGTCCAAGGTAGCTTCTCCGTATGCCACAGCCAACAGTCGGAATGCATCCGCGCACTTAATTTCGTTTTTCACACAAAATTTGATACAGGTTCTTTGATCCATTTTTTTGAATAGGTAAAACCATCCAAAACACGTGAACATTCAAAATGGCCGAGCTTATCGGCATAAGCGACAGACATTAGTACCAACATAACGCCACGAAATAATCGAAATTCGATTATACGTAACCCGCGAAAATTCAAGATTCGCGATACTTTTTGAACACACCTCGTATCATCAAAATTCATTAGCACCGTTTATTGACACTTATTTATAGTATTTAATAGTTAAGTTAATAAATTATATAATATATGTAACTTTGAAACTTATGAAGCGATTTTCCACCGAGCTCCTCCTCCAATTTGTGTTGTGTCACTTCAAGTCTCCCAATGAAATGGCCTACAGTTTATTCTAAGCCGCCTCCGTATGGCGTATGGATATTCTGAGGAGCTTTGATTTTCTTGTCAGAAATACCCTCGGAGGACTGGAAATTCCCTGCCTGGGGGACAAGAGCAATTAGAAAATTAAATTAAATTTGGTCTGCAGATGTTCTTATTTCTATAAAAATTTCAATGAACCAAATTTTTTCTAGCCCTCAAATTACAGGTTTGTTCAGCATCTCAGCGTCTCCCTTACTATTATAAACCGTTAAAGTCTAAATTGCCTCATAAAAATTTAACCACTTCAAATTATCCACTTATATACATACATATATACTTATGTACTCGCATGGTCATGGTACATATATATGTATGTGATTAAGCGGTCAGAAATTTATTGAATTTATACGACTTTAATAAGTGGAAAAGTTCAGCAGTAAAACTTAATCTTAAAATTCCAAAATTATTTATTTAGTTAATTTTAATTGTTCCGAATTAGTGATATGAAAATGCTTAAGAGAACTTGACTTCAACTTGCTGATAAAACGAAGGCTTTTTTATAGCAAGCATCTCCGAGTATAAGGCGGCCGCGGTAGTCGAGTGGTTAGCATTGCGTACTGTCATGCGCATGGTCATGGTTCAAATCTTGGTACGACGACCACCATCCAATATCTATAAAAAATTAATTTAAATAAAAAATTTAGTTAAATTTTGTAATTTCGGTCGCCCCTCGGCAGGGTATGTCAACCCTTTCCTTTATAGCTCCTCATTTAATAACAATCAGCCGTTCAGAGGCGGCTTAGTTTAAACAGTATTACCCTCCATTTGTTGGAAAAAACATCAAGACGAGAAACTACAAATTGAAGGAGCTCGGCCGAAGCGGAAATATATATATTTTGTCACACCTCGTACAGTAGTGATATTATATTTGAGGTGGAACGAATAAAACCATGATGCACATGCCTAACAATAACAATAACGGATCCTGTTTCTTCAAATTTCTTTAAAATTATACAAAATGTTTGAGTAGTTGAACGATTACATTTCTTGTTTGACAATTTGGTTTGACGGATATAAAAATTCAACCCTGTATTTTTGAAACCACGAAGTGTATTACCCTATATACGATTATTTTTTATGCGATGTAAACATGTTTTCTATGTATGTATAAGTATGTATATAATATATATATCACAAAATAAAAATTTCTACATTTGCGACCTTGAATCCATATTTCAAGGTCATACATATATATATATATATAATTGATGCTTTGTAACCGCTGAAGCGATAGTTTGACCGAACTCCTCCAATTTGTGGTTTTGGGTCTTGTTGTTTTTCAACAAATAGGTCCCTCTATTTTCAGTTTTTAATAAGCCCTCTCCGAACGACTGACGTTTTTTTTATGAGGCGCTTTATTTCATGTGAGAAATATACTCGGAGGAGTGTTCGCACTTGGTATTTCCAATTTGCGCCAAACAACGAAAAAAATAAATAATGATATAATTATCAGCATATAAACAAAATGCATATTGAAAATAACGTATTATTGTTGTACGATTCTAAAATTTTATCAGAAATCTATAGCTTTATATAAAATATACTCTCCCTTAATTACTTTTTGGCGATTTTAGAGGATTTTGTAAAAAAAAATGTACTGTTACGTTCACCTACGTGTTAAATTGAGGTTTTTAGGACTTCGAGTCATTCTGTGATTGTTTGTTTTATAACAGCTGATTGGACTTAGCGGTGGCGCATTTACTTTCGATATATTATTTTTCGTACTGAACTATCGGATTTGTTAAATACATTTTAATAATGTTTTTTTTCTTTATTACTATTTCTATTTTATATTACTTTAAGTAAAATTAATATGCATTCAGTAAATCTCTAAAAAAAACAGATTGTATGGACTAAAAACACAATTACAAAAATGTAGACGAAGAGCTATCGATAACAGAAACGGCTGATCAAAGCCAGAGAACGTAGATTTATATACGTTCTCTGAAGCTGCCCACAGAAATCGTAAGTTTTCCTTCCACTGCTGGTTGCAGTAAAATAAAATCTCTTTGTTTTCATAAAAATTATTTTAAACAATTATGAATACATCACCATCGAATCAATAAAAAAATGTCAATGTTTATGTGAAGTGTAATTTATGTGGTTGAACTAAAAAAAACAGCGAATCAATGCTGCTGCGTCAAGCTTCAATTATGAAAGTATAGCCAAAAATTTAACACCGCAAATAAAGAGAATGTATCAATTTTGAAGGCCACAAGTATATAAAAGATGAAAATGGATGCGCTTTGCAATGAGATTGGCATAAACATACAGCATTTGTGTGAAACAGCAGTGACTGGGCGTTATCAGTTGATTTGCGATAAACAATGGCTGCAGACATTAGAACAACGTCGTAAGATAGCGCCATTTAATATATGGCCAAAATTAGATAGGCGTGCACATCCGAATGATCCTTTAGATCATCCATGGACGCGAATTTTATTACAATCTTATCCGAAGAAACCTAATGTTAAAGTTTTTCCACTGCAATGGCAAACTAGCGATAGGGTTGTGGATGTTGTCGGCAATAGTGAAAGCGATAATCCGCTCACTTACTCACAGGCATTAGCCTATGTGACTAGCACAAATTTTAAGAACTTGTGGGAAGCTGCATACAAACGTTATCCTGGTGCTAACGTCAAGTCTGCTAAATCTACAAACACAGGCAGAGTAGTAAGTCCGTCTACGGCATTCAGTTTAACACCTTACGACGTAGTATTAAGGGAACTGATACAACGTGTCTACAATTGTCCGGTTATACATTGTCAGTTGGACAGGTTGGTTGATGAGAAAACCGGAAAGAATGGTAGCTACATGTTTTCTGAAGATTTATCAGGTAAGTAAATGAAGCTGCCGCTAAAACAAAAGTTTCTTAAATTACTTTCACTTTTTTGTAGGTCCTGAATGTCATGCAAATATAATGCCCGCAATTGTTGCAGTGGAAACTTCGACTCACTTCTGCGTACTATTTTATCCACCAGCTATTGTAACAAGCCTTTACGATTGCATTACTTACTCTCCATCAATATTGGGTAAATCATATAACAAGGCACTCTTTATCATCTATCAAATTCTACAGCTTTCGAAGGCTTTGCAAGCGTCTGGTCTATTCTTGGGTGATATTGGTTTGCATGACATAATGGTACGTGAAAATCTCTGGATACAAGTAGTACCACGCTTAGAGTCGTGCATACTGCGACCGAACATTGTACAGCACGTCGCCACATCACCCAGTGAAACGGCACATGGTGTTGAGGGCGAACCTTCTGTAGCTTTGGAAGAAAATGAAAATGAAAGCTTTGTGTGCGGTGGAAATGATGATGATGGTGATGATGATACCGTAGATAATTCCAGTAATACTAAATTTGATCTACAATTCGCTTACGACTTAGATCAATTTACGCTGCGTGAATATTGCGAAATGTGGTGCAATGGTCAACTCTCAAATTATGACTACCTGACGATATTGAATAACGCTGCTGGTCGTAGTCTTAATAATCCGGCCTACCATCACATAATGCCATGGGTAACTGATTTTACCGCACGTAATGGTTTGAATTGGCGTGATTTAACTAAAAGTAAATATCGCCTCAACAAAGGTGATGTACATCTGGATTTAATGTTTTCACATGCTACACAACCGGGAGGAAATGGTATTGGGAGTACTGCCAGTGTAGGACTAAGCGCTCAGGCACCACATCATGTATCGGACTTTCTCTCGGAAATCACGTATTTTGTTTATATGGCACGTCGTACACCGCAAGAACTGCTTTGTCAGCATGTGCGTCCGATTTGGGTGCCTGCGGAATATCCTGTATCTATACAACGTTTACAGCAATGGACACCGGATGAATGCATACCGGAATTCTACTCGGATCCGATGATATTCAAGAGCATACATGAAGATTTACCCGACTTGGAATTGCCTGCGTGGGCTTCATGTCCGGAAGATTTCATTGCAAAGCATAGAGAGGCCCTTGAATCACAATATGTCAGTGAAAGACTACAATACTGGATTGATCTTAACTTTGGGTAAGTAAATACGATTTTTAATTGAAAAAATATTTGAACTAATATAATTTACCATATAAAATTTTAATAATAGCTATAAATTATCCGGCAAAGCAGCTGTCAAGTCCAAGAATGTCTGCTTGAGTTTGGTGGATCAACATAAGGAACTCTGCCAGCGCGGTATTGTCCAGCTCTTTACCACACCACATCCTGCCAAACGTTTTCCATCACCTTGGTTTAATAAGACGCCACCACGTCTCAACCAATTACATGCTGCACCACGTTCACCACTCTCCGCCAACTCTACGCTACGTGCTAACGATTCTAGACGTCTTGCCAAGAGCACCGAGAATCTCAACACCAGTGAAGCCACAAATGTTTCGCCAACAGAACTCACTGCTGCAACCACTTCCATGCGTCGCAATGGTGGCTCATCATCATCACCGCGCATGTCCTTACGCGCAAATAATGCTACTGGAGAAATGACATCTAGTTCAAACTTTTATCCCAGCACCAACTTTATTGATTTGCCAAAGGATTACAATGCATGTGCATTACTGCAATCTCTCGAGGCCATGGAAACATTTTTCGCACGCACATTTCCAAAACAAAAGCCAGCCACCAACACTTTGGAAAAAATCATAAATAGTGATCTGCTATTTGATGCACATTCCTCAGAGAACTCGTTTACGAATCGTCTCTTTCTGGATGATAGTCCCAATCTCGCAGCACAACTACACAATAAGCAAAAGCCGAAAAGTCTTCTAGCGCCAAGCCCAAATTATCTTAAGAAACGTTCAATTAAGCAAATTTACACGGAACATCGTGAACATGAATTGCAAGTGCTTGGTTGTCTGATTGTGGAGCTTTTCGCTATGCAGCGCCTGCGCGCAATGTTCATGAACGGCGCGAATGCATGCATGGAAGAACGTCTGCAAGCTTGTCGCACTGTCTTTAGTATTTATTGGCAGGATATACCAAAGTGCTTGCGCTATATAGTCGGCTTACTATTGCAGCCACACAGCACCGATGTCGTTACCGAGAAGGGTTTGCCACCCCCAACAGCAAGTCAATTACTCGAACCTATTTTCGCTAACCAATTGATACCCTTCCCCTCCACTTTCTATCCAACCTATGCGCTCATACGTTCCCTGCACCAATTCGACTTTATTGCCTCACTATTGGAACTTTGCACGCATTTCAATTGCAATGGTCGTGAGTGTGCCAAATATACCGATATGGATCGTCATCGTGTGCTCTTCGAACGTAAAATAGCAGAATGCAAGGTAATGTCATGTTGCGCTTTCATCGGCCGTTTGTTGGAACCCATTGCTTATGAGCAATTTTCACCCGTCGAATTGTTGCTGCCGCACATTATTGATCTGCTGTTGGATGAGCAGACATCGATATTAACCGCATGGAATCTCTTTGATTCTTTCGCTCAAGCGCTCGGCATTGTCAATACACAAAAGTACCTGTTATTGCCCATCATGAAGTTGTACGATGTCGAGAGTTTTGATCGCGGCATGATTTCGGTGCGTACACGAAGTGCGGACGCGAATGGCGCAGCGGGTGGGCAAGTGCGCTTTTCCACCAGCAGTTCCTTTAAGTCTCGAAAATCAGTTAAGCTTTATCATCACAGCTTCCTACTGCATTTGATTGTACGCTTCGGTTTGAAATGCTTTCTGCACAATTTTATCGCACCGCTCATTGAAGCTGTTGGTGGCTATAAAGAGCCAGAAGATGGCAATGGATTCCATTATCATAGCTCAACGAATGGTGGTGGCGGTGGTAGCCGACGAACGAGTCGGAATCTAAATTACGCCTCCACCACTGAGGATGATATTTCAATGACGCTGATGTCTACAGAGGGACCGGAGCAAGATGACGCAACGCTGCATCTTAAAATACCAGGTAAATTATAATATTTGAGAATATCTATCAGGAAAAGTTTTTAGATGCGAGCACACGCACATCTAAAATATTTAAAGAAACATTTTTGATTTCCTCAGGGACTGTCTTTAATAAAAAAAACAACAGTTATACATGGGTAGTCTTATTCCGTTTAAATCAGTGTGTGTAATTAAATCGTATGCTTTCCTTTGCGGACTAGGGTTTCCAGACTCCTCGCGAAGGGCGGCTAACATCCAATACTTCTTGATCGTTCTCAGCACCAGTCACACCTGAACGAGACTCCCAAAATTCGAATCGAATTTTGTGCAAAACTAAACTCCTACTTAATTTGACTGGACCAATTTATGTGAGTCCGATATGTTGTGAGTTTTGTGCGACACCGGAAAACTCCTTATTTACCCTCTTGAACCAATATATCTAGTTCTCCTCATGCCGTTGTGTAATCCACCTGAGAAGCTTGATTCATATAAGGCGGTAAAAGCTCAATTATCTTCGCTCCGAGCACCACTAACTTTCGAAGCAAGTGTTCAGCAAGTGTTGACAACCTGTCCCATTTTAGAAACAAATTCAATTTTAACATTTATATTAATTTTCAATAAATATACCTGTCTTCTTGCTTTATATTTTCTATCCAAATAACTACTTTTCTCCCCCCCTCCTTAGCCACAAGCTCAACGAAACAGGAAGTCGAAGACGTATTCAGCTTTGATGATGACGCCAACTCGGATCATATCTCAAACTCAGGTACCAGTGAAAATAAATCATTAGACTCCTTTGACATGCGTCCTGCACCGGCCGAAGAAGCCAAAGAGGACTTCAACCAAGGTGACACGGCATCTGGGAAACTGGCAATTTCAGAGATATTCTATGGTTCGAAAATCTCCAACACGTCACTGGAAGATGCCGACAAAGTTTCCTTAAACAGTCAGGGATTGAACGACTCGCCCACCGCACAAATTGGTCCAAAATCACCAACAATTGAAATACCTGCCAGCGCCATTAGGCGCAGCTATCAATTAAATACCATCGACTGTGATATTGGTTCACGCAAAAGTATTGATTCATTCGAAATTATCACGCAAGCTGTGGAAGAGGAGCAAAAACAATTGAAAAAACAACAAATTGCAACCGATAAAATGAAACAGGGGGTAGAAAATCAAAATGCTGCTAAGGAAGAAGAGGCGGAGGAGGATAGCGAAGCGCAGTCGCAAGTTGCCTTAGACTCGCTGCAAGCTTCCGTTATTTCGAAAATGTCCGAAGCAAAAGCAGCACAAAACAATCGCATCTCAGAGATGAGTGCTGGCAGCCTGATGTGGTTGGCACACCGTTTGGGTCCGTCTCTTACCTCACGTCATATAACACGTAATTTGCTTAAAATGCTGTCTTTGTGTTATGTGGGACAAGAGAATCTACTGCCCGAAACCAACGAACTGACTGAATTGGGTAATCTGAATTATTTTTCAATTGCCGATGCGCATGTTGTGGGTGATCGAAGTGCAGCCCGCGTTCTGGAGTGCCTAATGTCTATAGCGGGTATGTAGTATTTAATGTCTTCCCGTACTTTTACCCATCTACTGCTACAATTTGTAATTTCTTTCATAGCATTGTTCGGCGAGGAGGTCATACTCGTACAATATTTTCCACATATAAGTGAATTGATTGCTTTGGGCTCGAAACGCATAACAGCTAGTCTGGAAGGCGCTATTATAAGCACGCTACAATTGCTTAAATACTTGGTGCCATGTCTGTTGGATGCCACATTAATGGAAAACTTAAAGGTATACATACGAGTACATTTATGCGTTATTTCTACACACTTTTCATAAACTTAAATTGCATTTCTCCCACAGGAAACTATACTCAAAAATATACTACTGCCAATAGTACGCATACTTGGCTCGACACGTCTCCTCATGCCCAGTGGCTACTTGGGTCGCTCAGTGTTGGCACGCAAATGGTTGGATGCAGTTTATACGCTCTGTGTACGTATCGGTCCTGATATGTCTAAAGAGCATTTATGCATACCAACGCTACGTCCATTTTTCCTCATCTTCGATAAGGCTTTCAGCATAAGAGAACAATTCGAGAATCCCGCAAATAGTCAACTTTCCATATCGCCACCAATAAGCTATGCAGAAAATGACGATCCCGCAGTCAACTGTAGACGTGAACGTGAAGAGATACGCGATGTATTTAGTCCAGCTCTTGCACATATTTCATACTTATCCTTCTTACGTTTCCTGGGCGAGGCAATTATGCAACGCACTATCTGTAATTTGGAATTTATCCTTACACTCTGTCATGAATTTGAGCAGCCCGATTATAAATCACTACATATAGTAGCTGGCAAGTCGAGCACTGATGCGGTTGACAGTCCATCGAAGAGTAGAGAAAATTTAGCCGAACCCGAGTTATCGGTCGCAAATAGTTTTGGCACAAATATTGTTGGTAATCGCATTGAGGTGGTCAGCGCTGGCGCTGGTAATCAGTCGCAGCAAGAAGTTGGTCCCATGGAGGTTTTAGATATGGTGGCCTATAAATTTGATCAAATACCAACTGTACGTCATTTGAAGGGGAATTGGCTGGCTTATTGGCGGCACGAAATCACTCGCTCCGATAAGGATACCATGTTGAATTTGAAACAAATCAAATTACAATCGTTTGTGGGTCACACAAATTCGGTGCGTTCGATTTTGGCATTAGACAATGAAAACAGTTTCATATCGGCCTCCAAGGTGAGTAAGAGAAAGTGTTTTTATTTTTTATTAATTGTTCCACGGTCATTAAATTGCGTCCCTTGAAAATACATACGCTTTGCACCTCTCATGTTATATTCGAAAATTTTAGTTTTCGTAAAAAAATCGTTAACATCCCTCTTAACAATATTTATACTCGGCTGTGCTATGTTCATACATATGTATATCAAACTTCCTGGAATGACAAAAAGCGTCGATTTAGTCTTGTTTGCTGTTGTTGTAGCGGTTCGCTTACCTCACATAGAAACAGGCGAGACTAGAGGAATTCATCTAACAGAAGGTCCAGCAATCGGGCTTTTCTATGGTTTTGGACCTGAGGGAAAGAAGAGTTGCTTGAATTGGTTTTAGGCATGCAAGGAGGTGGTTAGTGTCGTGCGGGATCTCATTGCCTGCAGAACGTATGTACGAGTATGTTAAATCAACTACCATATCCAGATCTCAATTGTGTCAGAATTAGTCAGACTTTTCCTAGCAATTCGAACTCTTTGTATGTAATGGATAATTGTTAGATACCGAGAACACCATTAATAAATACAGTTCATGAAGGTGTTGATGGGCTCTAGGTGAATGGCGTTCAAAGCTTGCCGGTTCGCAGTCCTTTTCTCCACCAGTTCTTTCCAAAAGTGCCGTGTTGAATTTTAGTAGTCAAATACTCTCTGCCAAATCTGGGTGGAGGTTCAGCATGGGATGATTTCGATGGAAGCTTCCCAGCAGATATTGCTTACACAGCATAACATTATGCTCCTTCGCTGACGTCAGGTGGTCTCTTTCCACGTTCCTTAGAGCGGTGTTCTGACATGCTAGTAGCTTCTTCAGCTGCGCCTCGCTAGTGCCCTGACCAACGAAAAATTCGATATTATTGATACTCACAATTCCCATTGTCTAATGAGAATATGGAATAATTATGGACACAATCGGGTCCATATAGCGGACTTCCCACCGTCCTCTTGCCTCAAAATGGTTTACAAAGCGGCAATTATTATTATAAAGTTATTATTAAAAGTCCTACCTGTCACATGTAGGTCCAAAAATAGAGCTATCTCCCATGAATAAGACCTATTTTTAACTGACCTGTGGACTTAAGATCGAATATTTAAGGAATACGACTAGCAAACTGCAATTCACTTAATAAATGTGATAGGAACAGTGAGTTCTAAGTACCTGCCAAAAATATATATATGGATCCACAGACAAACCTATCTCTTAGTGAACTGAACTTTAGTTCTTTTGTACCGCCGGGTGTATCTAATGTTCGGCTAGACCCGAATGTTGTCTTTCTCACCTCCCCAGTTGCATATATTTTCATAAACTGTGTCCAAAACTGTCTTTATCGAGTTTAAAAAACTAACCCCCCCAATCATTAACCTTCCTATAAATGAATATCACCAATTTTTTCTTTCATTATAACATCGCTTTAAAAATCCATACCCAAAAACCTAAAAAATATTTCGTCCATGTAAAAAGTGCCGCGAAAAAGTGAACGAAAATTTGCATAATTATTTTTCAGGATAAAACCGTTAAACTTTGGTCACTGCGCAGCGAAGGCGACGGACGCAAAACAACCTCCTGTCAATTTACCTACACAAAACACAAAAAATCCATACACTCACTCGCGTTCCTCGAGGCCACACGTTATGTGGTATCATGCGATTCGGGTGTGCACGTTTGGGATCCATTCATCGGACGACCGGTAATTGAGCTGGATGCGCCCAAACACAATCCCATAACCGTAGTGAAAGCGCTACCCTCACCAAGTCCACTCATCCTGGCGGGCACAGCAGAGTCCTCGGTGAAAATAATCGATACACGTTGCATGCAATATGTGAATGAGTGGCGTGTGAGTAATGCTGCGACACAAAGTAATGCCACAGTGCGTTGTCTCACGGTCGCACCATCGGGTAATTGGCTCGCCGTGGGTCTCTCCTCGGGTAGTATTGTTATGCTGGATACACGTACGGGTTGCATTTTGAATGCTTGGCGGCCGATGGAGTGTGATTTGTTGCAATTAGCTGCGCCTAATGATCAGCAACTGATCAGTTCAGCGTTGGATCACAGTTTGGCGGTATGGCATGCAGCGGATGGCATATTACATTATCAGTTGAAGTAAGTTTTTGTTAATTTGTTTTTCTATAAATTTTATTAATTTTCTACATTTACCCCTTTGCAGACCACCCGCGGAGCCTGCGCACTTTCTTCAAACCATCGACACAGAGCTAATTTACGCGACCACCGGTAATCGTGTCGGCATCTATGCGGACATCAGCAGTTCACATGCCACACACACAGTGACGAAATTGCGCCCAGAAACATTCCTTGGTGTGCTCACCTCATTGGCCGTTCTGCCATTGAATCGTACATTTTTAGCCGGCAATGAAAGTGGAAATATTTCGCTTTTATGTTAATTCATTTAGTTCTTCTGCTTTTGCACTCAAAAGCATTAAGGAAAAAAGTTTTCAATGCGTGGCATTGGCTGAAGTTTGCAGGTGAAAAACAAGCAAAAAAAAATACCAAAAATACAATTAATATTTTTATGTATGTATGTACACAAGTGGTTGGGTAGCACTCAAGTAATATTTATGTAGTATTTTTGTTATATATATATATATTATTTAATACCAAATTTTAAGTATTTACACGTACATACATATATGAGACGTTACAAAATGATTGATATTATTTTAACGAGTTTGTGTTGTATCGTTCCGATACATACATACATATAAACTCTTTAGGCTATTAATTTTAAGTGCACATAGTATACGTTAAAATATATTTTAATCGATAAATAAAAGACAAGTAAAAATATATAGTATTTAATAAACATGTTTGCAAACACAGCTCTGAGTGTGTGTTTTTTTTTGTCTACAGTTCTACAGTTTCGTCTCGATCGACTTGAAACTTGGGGAAAATATTACTGACACTTTATACTTTTATACAAAAAATTATCAAAAAAATGAATGCTTTGAAGTTTCAAAACCTATGTAACCTCTTAAGCAAAAGAAGCTGAGGCTATATATCATCCGGACACTTCTGCGGAATGAAATTTTGATAGTGGTAATTTTTAAACAATTTAAGCCTTTAAAAGGTAATGAAAATATATATCTTTCCAATCCGCTTCACTGAAACTCAGTTCACTCATTTAGTTTACGTTCAGTTACAGACACACTTACAGAAGGCTTTGAATGGTATAAAAACAATTTCAAAACAGGTGGCAACTCTCTTGAATTATCAATTTTATTTACTGGTGAAGACAGTGCGACAGAAAAAATATTATATTTGAAAATTTTTTTAAAGAAAATTCCCCCCGTTAAATATTTTATAGTATAGAGCGTATATTTGTCTATAAATAAGGAAGCATTAAACGGAAATCTGGCTTTTTGACGAGATATGCAAAAAAAACAAGTTTCCTGTCATCCTATCTGCCTTTTTATATGATTGTATGAACTATAAAATGACTCATGATTGAGGTAAAACAAATTAAATTCAAAAAAATGACTTCACAGTCGTTGAATAAATAAAGTTAAAATTTAGCTTAGAAATCGGATGGTTTTTCCAATGCCAAATTTACATTTTCACTTTTTGCCTCAAATAATGCTGAACGCGTTTTATACTGAGTCCGAAACTATTTCAGATATGCATGTAGAGCCGAATTATTATTTTTTGTTTCGAAGTTATATAATAATATTCCCCCGCTATTCCATAATCTTCGACGCCGTCTTTTCCACTTTAAATTTTCTTGGTGGCCTTTCCCCCTTGCTTATCTACTGCATTTATTTCTTTTTGGACTCGGGATCATACTGACTGTTAAATGCGGTTGCAAATTTTATCCAAATCATTTTGGCACAACTCCAAAAAATCGTTACAATTGCTGCTTTTTGAGCGACGCACGATGGGGTAAAAGTGATTAAGGGGCACACCTAGTACAATGGCCTAAAAAAAGATGATTTTTGGGAATTTTTATTAAATGAAATACTTTATCAATTATTTCAAAATTTTAAGAATATATTTATACATGTTTCAAGAGTATACAGTGAAATTTTTGAAGAAAAAAATTAAATATTTTTTAAGTTATAGTCGATCTCCAACGGCGCGAAAAAAAGGTCCTGCGCCAGTGATTCCGGCCTTCTCCGTGGATGAAATTAAAAAAAAAAATTCTCGTTAAACTAGATAATATTGTATTGGATGAGTGCATAAGTTCGTGCCCGATTCCGCTGGATGCCGTTCGAATCGTTTGAGAGTGGCGCTCGTGAAAGAAATATATACATATTATATATCGTTGGAAAGGCGACAGTCCGAACTATAAATCAAGCATAAAATAACTTCATTTTGATTTGAGTTGCTTAGTGAAAAGACGCATGGAAGATGGACAACGAAAAAGATCAAATGCGTCATATTATGTTATACGAATTCCGCAAAGGAAAAACAGTAGGCGCTGCAACTAAAGATATTCGCGAAGTTTATTTGGACCGTGCTCCAGCACTCCGCACAGTAAAGAAATGATTCGCGAAATTTCGTTCTGGAGATTTTAACCTCGAAGATCAACCTCACAGTAGACAGCCTTCTGAGCTTGATGACGATGTTCTAAGAACTTTAGTTCCGAATAACTCACGTATTTCGACGGTAGAGGTTGCCAGTGAATTGAACGTCAAGAAATCAACTGCGTTTCGTCGTTTAAAAAAGGTTGGGTACACTTTGAAGCTCGATACATGGGTGCCACATCAGTTGAGTGAAAAAAACAAAGTGGACCGTATGTCAACAGCAATTTCTTTGCTTCGACGGATCAAAAACGAACCTTTTTTGGATCGACTCGTGACTGGTGATGAAAAATGGATCCTGTACAACAATGTTCAACGCAAAAGAACATGAAAACAGGCACACGAAGAGGCGGTACCGATGTCGAAAGGTGGTGAATGGAAAAAAAATTTAAAAATGTGGAAGAGGTCAAAAACCACCTTGACACCTTTTTCAACGAGAAACCGTGCGATTTCTATGAATCAGGCATCCGTAAATTGGTTGAACGTTGGGAGTGGATTGCCGAACATGATGGCGAATACATAATTGATTAATAAAAGCGCTAAAATCAAAAATTGACAATATGGCGGCGTTTTAAAAAAAAATAGTCGAATTTTACCCAACATTTTGGTCGTTTTTGGTCTGCCAAAATTCGAGTTTTTTATCAGATCAAAAATCGATAGGTCATTATACGGAGAGCTATATATAGAACATGTAAAAAAAATTCGATAGTGATCTTATCATTCGTTTTTGAGTAATCACTGCAGCGAATTCGGAAAATGCTGTTTCAAGAAAAACGCGTTTAAAGATAAAATGATCGTTTTCACTCGTACTAGCTGCCGAGCGGCTGCTCTTTAAATTGCTATAACTCAAAAACTGTTTGAGATATCGATTTCAAATTTTAATATGTTATTTTTAAAGGTGTAATCTATATCTGTATATGAAAAAGATATCGATTTTTTTGAAATTCCACATTAGGTGTGCCCCTTAAAACACGCGCATTTCTTATTTTATGCTTTAGTTTCCATAGTTTTGATCATACATTCTTCGGACATTTGATTTAGAATTGTTCAGAGAATCGAATGCTTTACTAATTTTTATATTTACTACTCCTGAGACTTGTACCCTACAGTCGGAAATTAAGATTTCTTACGAATCTTCTTATTCAAAAGAAAATGCAAATATTTCAACTTTTTCCAACTGATTGAGGTAATTTGCTCATTACACATACAAAATCTTATACGAGTGATTTTCAAAGTCCATGGCATGTGAAAACTTTATCACTAACTTAAATTTTGAGGATTTCTTTAATAAAAAAGACACATTTTTCTTTGGAAAATTTTATAAAAATTAATACGAATTTATTTTATTTTCTAGTCAGGCTTACCGATTAACTTCTTCTATTGTAAACTGTTTATTTAATAAGCAATATTTATACCAGCTGTCCGTCTGCCTGTCTTTGCAACTGTTTGGACGCAAACTAATCCGTTACTTTTGGAGATATTTCAACTAAATCTGGTTAGCAGCGGTATTTTTATACTGTATTGATCACAATAGCCAGTGGTTAGCAATGCGTACTGCTATACGGAGTCTTGGGTCGACCAATACCCAAAATTATTACAAATTGAGGTCGCCCCTCCGCGAGAAATATCAGGCCTTTCTTGTGTATTTCTGCCATTAACTAATAAAGTTCATCAAAAACAAAACCATCGACCGTTTGGATGCGACCTAGTATAACCTGTAGGACTATCTATTTATGGGATAAAACATCAAGCCGCTCACCACAAATCCGAAGGAGAAGCTCGGCCAAAAATGGTTTCATCAGTTCCAAAGCGCCAAATACATATAATTGCAATTAGTTCTAAAATTACTAAGGAAATTTGGAAGGGTTTGCCAAACAATTTTCATATGAAAAGATCTGAATTTAGCAAATTTTGGTCTGAAGACGTTAGTTCAAGTTGAAATATTTGCAATATAATGCAGGACACTGCTTTGCATTTGCTTTATAAAAGTTCATACCTTCTGGACTCGCAGTGTTTCATTGATCTGTTATGAGTAAAAAAAAGTTATAATCCAAAGAAAATTGCTAATTTTCCAAAAAAAAAAAAACATTTCTTTGTAAGAAGTTCGAACGCTTATATTTCTTAAACTAAAAAATTCTTGAGAACCATATTAACAAGATATTAATTGCATTAACGTTTAGGTGTCGCGTGAAAAAAATGATTTAGTTGACAAATGTATTTTCTGTAGATATTCTTGTAGAGACACCAATTAAACAATTTTCAAATACAAAAAATCTACACTACACGGTGTGTCCTAAAAATAACCGAACTTTTTGGATATAAAATAAAATACACATTATATTATCTTTGAAAGTTATTATTTATTTAAAATACGTGTAGGTTCCATTTGACTCAACACAACGTTTGGGACGATCAACCAGCGCATGCATAGATTTTTTTATATCATTTATAGAAATGTTCTTCAGTACCTCGGTTACGGCTGCTTGAATGGCTGGAATATCATCATAAAATTCTCCCTTCATCTTGGTTTTCAGTTCTGGAAATAAAAAAAATGGTCATATGGTGATAGATCAGGCGAATACGGAGGATGGTCGATGAGAGAAACCCCTTTTTTCATTAAAAATTCGAGCGATTTTTTGGTCGTCATTTAATTCATGTGGAACAAATCGTGCACAGACTTTTCTTCCCCCCAAATCCTCAGTTAAAATTCTCCAAATAGTGTTTTTATTCGTATTCAATTCCTCAGCCAACATTCTCGTAGTAAAATTTGCATCATTACCAATGATTTCACGGACTTTTTCCACTAGTTCAGCACGATTACTAGTTTCTGGACGTTCTGCTCTAGGGTCGTCATTTAAATCCTCACATCCATTTTTATATCGTGTAAACCACGTATAAACTTGCGTACGACTCATACCATCATCACAATAAACTTTTTTCATTAATTTTTTTTTTTCAAGTTTGATACAA